TAAGGAGGTCTAACTTGCATGACAAGCCAAGAGGAAAGGCAGGGGAGCCTCTAAACTGCCGGAGCAGCAAAATGAAGGTCAGGGGGCCTGGTGGAGCCCATGAGGCTTTGAAATCAGCTGCTGTTTGTGATTTGGAATTGGGGGAGGAAGGGAAAAGAAGGAAGTTACACTCTTCTGATCCCCGCTGTGTTCGCCCTTTATCAGGTGGACTTCCACTTTATTCATTCCCCAGATAATTTGCAACAGTGCGCCTTTATGAAGGAGGAGTATTCCAGACAAAGGTGTCAAATAAAGAGTCATAAAAAGGAATGATTTATTTCATCAATGTGGTTCTTTTGAAAAGAAATTTTATTTATCTTTAGAGAGAGGGGAAGAGAAGGAGAGAAATATCATTCAGTTAGCTGCCTCTTGAACACACCCAAACCCAGGACCAAACCTGCAACCCAGGCATGTGCCCTGCCAGGCCCATCCAACTGAGCCACATCAGTCCAGGGCTCATCAAAGTGATGGGGGCCTCAAATGTTGGAAAAATCTTAGTTCAGGTAATAGCTAAAAAGATGTGCAATCAATGTATGTAAAAGCTGTTGTCTGAGGAACTGACGGTATGGCCCATCTCGACTCCAGGAGACCATAAGCAGTTCCACCTTTGTTCCTCGGGAGGACTGCAAATAATCAAGATGGCACCTGATCTCCTAAACTCTAAATCTGAGACTTTGTACTCCAGGCTGACATGCGCACTGCCCAGGACACAGATGAAGGAATGCTGCAGCTTTATCTGATTAACTTGGCCCCTGAACTCCAACCCCCTTCCCTACACCTTTTTTCTCCTGATAAAAAGGGTCAGTTTAAAATGGAATTTAAGATGGTCTGTTAGGGTACAAACCCTCCGCCCTCTCAGATTGCTGACCATTGGAATAAAGCGCCCATAAAGATTCGATCCCTGTCTCTGCTTGTTGAGTCTGATATGTAACAGTCAGCAGAAATGTTGGCGTTTCCTGTTACAAAAGTGGTTCTTTCCTGCTGAAGTTGATCCACAATCAAGAACTTTTAATGACCCCTGTGTTAAGCAGGATAGATAGCAAACCAAGGCAGAAAGCAGGAGGGAGACATGTCTCACTCATTAATTCAGCAGCCCTGAGCCTGGCCCAATAAGATTGAGACAGAATAGTAAGAAGCTAAGAAAATTCCTTGGCAAGTGTAATAGGGGAACTGTGGCAGATAGTTGAACCCAATGGCCAAGCAATTTACAGCCAGCCAGGTGCAAATTGTCACCAGGGGGGGAGGCTGCAAGTGCCTGGCAGTGAGGAAAACTTGGAAAGGAGGGCCTCGCTCCCAGGGTAATGTCTGTTACCCGGGCCTTTCCTTCCTGGAGATAACATTAGGCCTCCATTGTGTTTCAGCTCCAGGCCTAGAAAAGCAGCAAAACCAGGTGGGCAACACCAGAACCAATGAGAAGAGACCCCCTGTCCTGGCACTGACCAATCAGTGCAGACTGTAACGGGTGTGGAACAATGTCCAGAACTTGGAGTGCCATCTGAACAGTCCCAAAACCCCCTTGACAGGGGAAGGGGAAGCAGAGCAGGGCCACTGAGAGTTACTCCCATATCTAAGGAACTTGGCCAGTGCTTAAGTAATGCTAACAGTTGAGCCAGGGAGGTGGGCAGGAGTCTGTCCCGTGATGCTGCCGCCTACAGTGCCCGGCTACAGTCCCCCGGCAACTACTGCGCCTGTAGTGAGAGCAGGAGGGTGGTTCCCCTAAGTCCTGGCGCCAAGCTTGCCCGAACTAAGAATGGAAGCAGAGAAAGGCAGAAGAGACCAGAGTACTGGCAGGTGTAACCCTTTAGGGGAGGAGTCAGAAATGGGGTTATGGAGGAGGAGCAGGGCGAGGATTTAAACACAAGCATGGGGCAGCCGTGCTCTGAGCCTGTGTGTCTCTTAACCGTGCAGTCTGGGAAGGAAAAGCCTCTTTTCACCACGTGGTTTAGGAGCAATCTTGGCCATGAGGTTTGAAAGGATGCAGAAGGACCCCCCCACCCCGCCCCCGCCGCCGGCCCACCCGGAGGAGCGGCGACGCGGTTTTGGATTAAGAGCGGGAGCCTAGTCGAGCACGGACGACTGGGAGAAGCCGCATGGGGATATGCCTCGCGGAGCTGCGGACTTCAGTTTCTTTTCCTGAGAGCTGGTACTTTTGACTGGCCTGGTTTGGCAAGAAAAGGCAGGACTGTGAGTGTTTATGGGTGTTTAGTTTTAAGGGACTTTGGGACTTAAACACAGAATTCTGCCATTATTCTGAACCTGTGTATCTTTTGAATACATAGTTCCTTTCCTTTCCTAAGATTCTGGCATTGGGGATCGGGGTTTTTTTGGCGGTGGGTAATAGAACCGAGGGTTTCTGTTACAAGACCATGACAGTGAAACAGCACACCTGGAGAACTGAGGTGTATTCTACCGAACACCCCCGCCCCCTCGAGACCTCCCCTAAGGTTTCCATCTGCAGGAAAGAGATAAGAGCCTCTAGACAAAGTACATAGTGAAAAACACGTTTCATGTCCCTCTAGGGTGCAGCCTATGCCACTCTCTTCCTCTTCTCCCACTTCTTTCCCCAGAGGCACGCACCTCCTAAACTCTAAAGCAATGGGCAGCTGGCAGCTTGTCCCAGGCTAATCCCCCGACCTGTCCCAAGGCCCCCTTTTCTCTGACTCCCCCGGGAGCTAAAGCAGCCCAGCCTCGGCTCTCTTGTTGCTTCTTCTATGCTAACCCCTTCCTTGTTCCATTGTCCCCAGCCTTAATAATGTTTCTTCCTAGTCACCTGCGCTTATGTTGTGAAATCTTTCCTACGTGTAGTCAGAAATCCCCACACTACAATTGGCCCTAGGCAGACGTCCCAGGGACAGGCCCCTGCCTGATAACAAGATTGCCAGGTGTTCCGAAAATCACAGGAAAACCCAGGATAGCTCAGGAGGTGGGAGCCCTTGAAATTCTGTATGTATCATTTCCTCTGTCTGAGAAACAAAGCCTTTGCCATTGTATATTAATCCCAAGGTCTGGAGAAGGGTGAAGGAGGAGGAAACCTAGACACTGGCTTCAAGCATAAACTTAGACTAGGTGGGCGCCTGCTGACAGCTCTGTGCTCAAGTGTATCCATAAATAATCGGGCTATCTCGTTTCCACTCTATGTATTGTCTCTTGCCTGCATTCATCTCTAGCGAGCGAGACAGGAACGGAGGAGGGGAGTGCCCTAATCTAGGTCTCCCCGGCGACACCTCTATGCCAGATTTTGACTGGCAAAGTATTTAGGATTTATTGTAGCCAATTATGTGCAGAACTGTGGACTCCATCCTATCAGGAGTGTGAGTTTTCACTGCTAACACTTCACTGCCCCCTTCCCTGGTGTATTCCCTTCTTACCTCTGTTATATTCCTTGACAGTGAATGATAGAACCTCAGTGCCTTGACTGTAAAATTGGAAAATAATAGAACTTACCTTATAGGTTAATATGAGGACTAGATGACTAAACATGTAAAGTGCTTAGAATAATGAGTGTCTTATACACAGTATGGACCAAAAAAAGAGGCCATATACTGACCCTGACGAGCTCAGGGGAGGCCTGCATGGGAGCCTTACACATTCAGACATCTAGAATAACCACATAGGATGGTCTGAATTTAAAAGTTTCTGACTAAAAGCAGGTCAAGGCAGGTAGTCATGTCTGAGGGTGGTATTTTCCCCTAAGAAAGCTCAACCTCCATCTTCACTGAGCCTGACTGTCCTCTTTTTGTTTCTACGATAACATACCTGATAACATAACTGGAAGAGCAAGGCGGGTTCTTTTTTCCCCGAGACCTCTCAGGGCACAACCACAGCACCAGAGCGGAGACCACCATCCCCTCACTGTTATTGGTATCATAACAAGGATAACAGTTAACTAATGTTGTTCACTGTTAGGTACCCTATACCTGCCTATGTAATAGAAGTATGTGTCTATTCCTTCTATTTCTCATCCAATCCCAGAGGTTTCCCCACATTGCTTTCTCCTGCCTCCCTAGTCTATCCCCAGCAGATTTCAAGGGACCCCTTTCAGCTTCCTTGTTGATTCTGATGTATAAAATAAGTAGTAAAACCACCATTTTCTGGAGCATTTTCTCAGTTGGTTGAGACTTTGCTTCCCAACACTGTCATCATTTTGGCGCAAATAAACTCCTAAAAATGTTTACAGGTTTAGATGTTTCTTACATTGACAACAGTAAGCACCCAATATATTAGAACTATATTGTTATTAGTATGTCAAAAATTTTTCTTTATAGTTTATGCTTTTTGGTCTTATTTAAGAAACACTTCCCCAATCAATAGGGAGCTTATTATTGAAGTGAATGGACAGGGCTTGGCGGGGTCGCGTAGGGAGAAGGATTTCTCTACCTAACACCATCCCTTGTGCTTATGGCTCAATCAATCAGGGCTGCAGGGATATTTACAAGTTGTATAAGACACAGACCTTCTCAACTGTGAAAATGTCAGCATCCCATCTAAGCCTTGGGAGAATTTCTTGGGCAAATGATACAACCTATAGAAATATCTAGTCACAGAAAAGCCTAGTGTGATTATAAATGGTTTATTTCTTTAGATTATAACATTCATCACAGTTAAATTGTGTTTTACCAACAGTCACTGTTGATAGTGCTTAAAACGTTGCTTTTATTTTATTTCATTGTATTTTAAATTTAATCTTTATTGTATTTTTCTCAATCACCATTTAGTCCCCTTATACCACGCTCCACCCAGCAATCACCACATTGTTGTCCATGTCCATGAGTCCTTTTTCCTTTTTGTTCAATCCCTCCATCTCCTAACTTCCCCATTAATCACAGCAAAGTATCAAGAGACTAGGGGCTTGTCTCAGGTAGTAAATTTGAAGACAGAAAGCACACTTTTGCAGTCAGATCCACTAGATCCCTTAGCAGACATGAGCATGAATGTAAGCCACAAAGAGACCCTGTGTCCCTCCCTCCCTGACGCCCCATGCAGAACCAGGCCCCAGGCAGGGGAGAGTTACAGCTCCGCAAGGAGGAGCTGCAGGGCGAGGAGGCTGGGCAGCAGCAGACGGAATGCTGGACTTTGTCTCACTCCTGCAGTGGGAAAAAGATAGAGAGGTTTCTTCTGGGTTTAAGACATGGCCTCCCAAACTTTTACCAAAGGGTCAAAAAAGCAAGAGGGTGGGGTCTAGGTGCTCCCTATATGTGCCCAGCAATCAGACTCCTTTGCCTGTCAGTAATTCTTAAGTGCTCAGGAATGAGAGAGAGAGAGAGAGAGAGAGAGAGAGAGAGAGAACTGTGCAGACTCACCTTTTTGGGTCTCTAAAGTTAAGGTCACCTTGAATGGACTGAATTCTTAGCCCTATGGGCTCCTCAGCCCCTCCATTGCCATTTTCAGGCCCCTGTGCTCCCAGCTACAGATGCCTCAGTAACAGAACCTTTTTCCTACCTGGGGCCTGCAGCTCCCTGGCCACTGTACTGTCTTTGTCCAGCTAGTAATATGTTTCTGGGTCTGCACCTGATGGATGTTCATCTTTTGCAGCAATGTGTATACTGATTTCGGCTAACCAGCGTTACCTGCAGTCCTGTCTCCGGGTAGGATCTGGCTTCCTCCCTTGGGGTTCTCGGCTCAGCCTCCCTGAGATGGTGGGCAGCAGCTTCCCTCTGCTGGATTGTTTGCCTGGCTACCCTGTTTTTATTAGGCTTGATCCAAATTCGAAATTTCTGCATGTAAGAGCGCTGAGTTTCTCAGTAATCACTCTCTGTGATCCCATTTCTACCCCAAACATTCCTTCTGTTTCCAGCAGCCTTTCAGAGCCTAAATACTAATTTGGTTGAAGCTTTCTAGACACTCAGTCCTTCTGCAGCTTAGATCCCCTTCTGGCTGGACCCTGGCATCTCCACAAAACCTAACTTACTTCATTAACAAATCCTGGAGCCTTGATTCAAGCCAGGCATTAATGACAGGCTCTGGGTCAGGCAGAGGGAACAGGAAGACAAAGTCTCTGGCATTAAAGAGATCGCCAGACTGTAAACAAATTATTATGATAGAGATGGTGAAAGAGTGGCTGAGATGAGTACAAAGTTCTCTGTGGGGAAAAGAAATAGATGATATATGTTGAGCAATGTCTATATGCCAGGCAATTAAAAAAAGAACTGTAATTCTCACAGACATACTACTGAAGTATTGCTTTTTGTATCCTTATTTTACAAGCAAGAAAACTGAGACACAGGTTAATCAGGCAGTTTGCCCCAAATAACAGAACTACTGGTGGTTGAGCCTGGATTACCCTTGAGATCATCTGTCCCCAACCAGTGGCGTGAAGTGTGGTATATATAATATTTAATTTTGCTTGAAAATATCAAGGAATTCTTATGATTAGAAGGATAGTTGAGCTAGTCTTGAAAGATAATTACTAAATTGATAGTGTCTTAGATTGGATGAAATACGGCATGAAGACAGAGCCTTCAGGCCAGGAGGAAAGATAGGTGTGAATGCACAGAAACCTGAGAGCCAGGTCACCTTGGGAAACATTAAGTAAAGTGGAGGCAGCTCCTGGTGGCACTTTCTCACCCATCACAGAGCTGGACAGGTCACAGCCTTGCTCCAGGACTATTTCCAGCCACTACTGATAGGCCTGCACCAACGGGTGTTCTCTGCTTTACCATCTCTGACCTTCAACGGTCTAGGCATCATCCCTGTGCATCTGGTCTAATGGGTCCCACTTGTGCAAAGCCTTTCAGTTCTTTCATCTCCTCAGCTCCACACGTATTCAGCTGCTCTTCAAGCTAGCCAATAGCTTCAATGGATTTGTCCTCTTACCAGCTCAGAACCTGTAAACTACCCACACTGGAAACCTCAAGGTCCACCACCCAGGGTTCTAACCATAGTCCCGTTGCACTGTGCTTTCCTTCTCTTCCTTCCAGAACACCTCAGAGAGAGCTGCAGTTCCCCAACCCCCCTTGACCGCCAGGGCCTTCTGCCCAGTTCATCTCATGTCTGATCTCCAGGTAGGGTTCCTGCAGTGGCCACACCGTTCTGCATAGACCAGGTCTCCCAACTCCCCTAAACCTTTCCTATAGCTCCTGACATATCAGTAGTTTCCATAACCCATTTTCTCTGGTGCCCGCCTGTTCTTTCTGACCTTTTTTCACAGCGGGGAATTGGAGAGCATGGCGGGACTAGAAACTGCCCACGCTTCTCTTATTCCAGGATATCAGCCCTATCTCCCTATCTTTTTAGGAGCCTAATACTCTTCAGCAATTAGTTGAAGACTGCATTGTTCTCTGCCCTGTGGCTTCTGGTAGCAGAGCACCCCCGCTTCTATTTCATGATGTTCCCACCACTCCTACCTGGAGCACGGTCTCAGACTTACCTGAAGTGTAGAAACAATTGTATTTACTCTTTAATTTTCCAAGACTTTTAAGAGAAAATCGACTGTATGTTTTACTTTTGCTTAGTTCGGTGACTTGCTGAAACACCTCATAGCCTGGAATTAGCACTTCTTTTTCATCTGGATAGTAAGAGAATGCTTGAATATCAACACCAAGGCACGTATGAATGCTAAACAGTGTCCCTCTCAGTGTCCCTCTGGTCTCTTGAAGAAATTTTTCAGCTTCTTTTAGTGAAGTAGATGATGAGGCAAATTGGCCAAAACGGACGTTTCCTTTCCCACTGTAAATAAACTTTTTCTGAGCACCTCTATAAACTGTATGACATCCCCCTTTATAGAGAAGCTGAAGAGCTCTTGTCAAATAATAATGGAAAGCTTTAAACTGAAATTCACGTGAATTTTGGCCGAATGTTCTTATAGCTTCATTGAATTCTATTGAAATATCCCCAGTATAGGCCACTACAGCTGTTCCTTGGAAATCATTGAGTTGTTTTGAACTGTCTATTTTATTCTTTATTTTCTTCCATTTTATCTGTGCCTTTTCCCATTCATTTTTAAATATTTTATTTACTTGCAGTTCTTTTTCTAACAGCTGGGGTGCTTTTTTATCCATTTCCTCTGTACAGTTCACATACTGATCATCAAATGCATCGGAAGCCATGTCTAGGACAGCTGAAATATCTTGCTGTGGCAGGCTGGTCACCTGTAAAGAAGAGGGGATATCGCTGACCCATTTGCATGTGCTGGATGCTGCACAGAGCCCACATGGTGGACTTCTTGCTCAGCATGAAATTTGACATGTATCTGTCATAGGACTCGTATGGTACACACATGGAGACATTCCTATTATACTATGTATATATGTGTAAAAAGAAAGAACTAGGCTTTATTACTCTGTTTTTTTCCTGATATTTTAAGAAATCTTTTCAGATACATGCTCTCTAACTGGCTTTAGCCTCAGACTCAACTGCAGAACTCCACAGCTTCGAAGATGTGAGGGGAAACCAAGATCAACAGGTTGTGGGCGGGAGGAGGTGATATACATTACCTGTTGTGCTAGCCACTGAGTTAGGATCAAAAAGCGAACTGTTATGGCCAGAAGGGAGGTCATCTCCAAGTTCAAAAGTAACTGCAAATAAATATAAGATCATGAGAGTGAGGTGTGAACATTAGTCTCACTGCGAGTGTGCTGATGACTGAGGCCCTCCTGCAAACCCGGAGGTCCAGGCTCCTATTACACTGCTTTCTCCACAGCTCCCCAGGATTTCTGTGTGGGCCCTGCATGCAGGGAGGAGGGAATCTGGCCTCTGGCCTTCAGTAAGGAGCTGGTAAAGGAACAACGAATACTGCTCGGAGGCAGAGCTGCATGTCACTCAGATGGCCAGGGAGAAAAACAGATCACATTGTGGCAGACCCTTCACAGGCCCTGACATTGTACTCCCCCGTAGAGAAGTAACTATGATTCCTTTCACTATTTTTTTTTTAAGTTCTCAAAGTTTTGTTAACCTGGGTCTCAAACATAAGTCAATCCTTCTGAATATCTCTCAACATTGTCAATTTTCACTATGATCAGGGAGAGCTAAAATGCATGGAAGCTTTCGGGGTTTCTTGGCTGGAAGGAGGTGTACACGTTGGTGGGGGGATGTGGCCTGAAGACCGAGGCTGGACTCACCATAGGAAGGGAGAAGGCCCTTTTGCTCAGGGACCTTGTGAGACACAGGGAGCAACAGTGCTGCCTCAGGATCCTGGGTTATAAATTGCACAATCTAAGATTAAATTTTTAGATTTAAGAGGGATAGAGAGATGCCATGTCTGACCTTCAACATGTTTTCTTTTTTGCCAGGTCCGACCTCACCTCCCTACCTGGAATATTTCTTACACAGAACTAACTTTGTGGCTTTGGCTCTTGACATAACCCCCACTATAGCAATCACCCCGGTCTTCAGGTCCTCTCCCAGTCCCAGCCAAACACCAGTCTCTCCTCGGGGGCATTCCCAGTTTCCTCACATTCAGAGACCTTTCCCCTTCAGAGAACAGAATGGAGTTATCAGGTACCTGATTTCCTGAAAACCCTTTGTGATCCCGTCCTGGTCCGTCTTTGCCACGAGTATCCGAGAAGGCAGTGCTCTGGCCTTTTTATTTGAGGGACAGATGTACTTTCAGTTTCAGATTAAATTCAGAAGATATGGAGAGTAAGTTTATAAACTATCCGCCACAAAAACCTGCACATTGATGTTTATAGTAGCTTTATTTATAATTGCCAGAAGTTGGAAGCGACTGAAGTGTCTTTCAGTAGGTGAATGAAGGCAATGGAATATTATTCAGCACCGAAAAACCAACCAACCAAACAAAACCCCCCAGGAACTATCAAGTCAAGAAAAGATATGGAGAAAACTTAAATGCATATTTCTAAGTGAAAGAAGCAATGTGAAAAGTGTCCATACTGTATGACATTCTGGAAAAAGAAAAACTATGAAGACAGTAAAAAGATTAGTGGTTTTTAGGGGTTAGGGGTTGTGGGAGAAGAGATGAACAGACGGAACACAGAGGATTTTTAGGACAGTGAAACTATTCTGTATGATACTAAATGATGGATACATGTCAGTATACATTTGTCCAAACCCATAGAATAAACAGCACCAAGAGAAAACCCAAATGTGAACTGTGGACTTTGGGTGATAATGCTGTGTCAATGTAGGTTCATCAATTGTAACAAACGTGCCACTCTAGTGGGGAATGTTAATACTGGGGAAGACTATGCAGGTGTGGGGGCAGGGAGTAGAAAGCAATCTCTGTATTTTCCTCATAGTTTTGCTATGAATTTAAAACTGCTCTGTAAAATGAAAGACGTTTAAAAATTCTGTTTCAAGTGAGAAGGACACTTGTTCAAATTCATAGTTTGAATCAGAAAAACATCAGAGTCATAAAGATGAGTAATTATTTTATGAATGGATGAAGAGAAGGGGAAGTCCATCCTCCTGTGAATTAACGAAGACCCTGAAGCTGGAAAAGTTGGGGTTAGGACTGCCTGTCACCACCAGAACCCATAAGCGGAGACATAAATTGAATCTTACAGGCTCTTTATTAAGATGGCCAGCGATCTGAGAAGACGGGGTGATGTACCCTAACAGACGTTTTACATTCCCTTTCAAGCCAGCTTTTTTTTATAGAGAGGAAAAAGTGTATATAAGGGATTTGGAATTCAAGAAAGGTTAATCAGAAAAACAGCTGCAGTCTGGCAATTTTCCTAACATCCTTTTGATTTTCTTTGTCTGTGTCCTGTGTCCCGTGGGGATTTTCTTTATGTGGCCCTGGGCAGCAGGCTGTTTTTTCCTGGAACACAATGGCTTGGATACCGCCTTGATTGTTTATGGAATACAAAGGTGCACAAAGGTTAAATCGCTTGTGGTCTCCTGGAGTCAGGGTGGGCTGTACCTTCAGCTCCTGAATCAATATGCATTAACTTTTCACATGCATTAACTAGGCTTATAAGCTATTACAAATTATAAATATGTTATATTTATAAATATATTTACAAATTATAAATATATAAATTATAAAAATTTCCAACTTTTGAGTCCCCACATCCTTTCCCACTGTTAGTTTTAAACTATTTTTTTTTTGAGATTAGTTTTATATGGAAGAAGTTATTGTACTGCTGAGTATGTATCTAGCATTACATACGCTGGTATGGACTGTCTGGTAGGAGGCTTAAGGAATATACTTAATTGTAGATTCATATAAGGGGGCATATTGTACAGAACAACAACCTATGATTCTGAAAAAAACTGACAGGAATAAAAACTACAAATGCCTTTCAAAGACCAGTTATACTAGGCAGCCAGAAAGTTGTTTAGACAAGTTAATACTGAAGAATTTATTTTTTGTTTGTTTTAAATTAGACACTACATTATTTACTTGTTTTATTTTATGCTTTATGAGCTGTGGATTATTGGTCACATTGAAACAGCAGAGTGCTTTAAATTTTTCATATTTATGATTATATATAAAAAGAGGTAGTCTAATAACTACCTCTTTTTATATACACAATTTATAATACTGCTTCTTTAACTTGTCCTAGTTTTTTACTAATAGCACACTGATGGCTTGTGAGGTGGCATTTAAAGCTTTTGCCATGGCGCAGGCTGATTTACTTATTTCTACATTTAAATAGGTTACCATAGCTGGCATTACAAATATAGTTAAAGGCACATATTCAGTGTGGCCAAAAAGTTGTAAATCACTGTTACAGGCAGGTGCCAGGGAGAGTTCCACAAGTCTGGGGTCGGGGGTGTGGCCTCTGAGGCATAAACACTCTCAGTCTTCCCATAGAATATGATCCCCTGGAACTATTCGCTGGAACATAGGAATAAACAGTCCTTCCACACATTACAAACAATTCTGCAGGCAATTTGATGGGAGCAAAAGCGTAAGATACATTAGTGGTGCTGGTGCAATTCATTTTCACATGCGTTGAAAGTACAAAACAGTTTTTAGTACAGTTGAAAAAAGTTGTACCTCTCCGGCTGGGGCTACCTTAGTGACTTCTAAGGAAAACATTTGCCTGTGCTTTAGAGTTACTACAGGTCCCCAATTAGAAATATTGGAATAGGCTATTTTCTTACGGATATACTTAAACAAAGTAAATTTTGAAGGCTTTCCAAGGGAGTACACACACCTGTAAGACATTGAGTGAAAGTTTGTTTAACCTAAGTTCTTCCTGCAAGACAAAATTTAGAGATGTTTAGAACATTTTTTGCAAAATATACTAAAATATTTTCATTTTATTTGAAAGGAACAAGTTCTCTATAGCATGGGGTTAAACAAAAATTAATGAAAAGAATATAAGTCATTGTTTTCAAAAGATGACTTTCAGATCTTCTTGAGGTTCGTCGGCCCATTGTTCCTCTTGTGGTTTCTTAGGTGTGATGAATCCAAGGTTTTATTTCTGCTAACTACACTGCGGTGAGGGTGGTGAGGAATATGTATGTCCAGAGGCCCCATCCACTTCTTTACTAGTTGGCTTTCTGGAGATTCTGTCTTCTAGGTCTTGAGTACTGCCTTCTCTCCAGGCTTAAAGGAATGTAGTGAGCCTGTAGGGGAGAGGTCTCTAATACAAGCACGGTCATTCATTACAGCTAAGGCCCGACTTAAATGTTGTACATTTTTTTTTACTTCTTGATTAGTATACACATTTTCCAACCTAATTATAGCCTGAAGTGGTTTCCTGTACACGACTTCATAAGGACTTAATTGAATTCTACTTCGAGGAGCAGGGTAATAGGTAAAGCTTGATCCCAATGGGGATGAGTTTCTTGTGACAGCTTGGCTATATATTTTTTCAAGGTGTGATTCATTTTCTTATCCTCCTAGAAGCCTGAGGTCTTCATGTTCTGTAGAGTCTCCACTTGATTGCTAAATATTTACTAAGCTTCTCTGTAATTTCTGAAACAAAAGCAGGTCCATTATTGCTTTGTATGCTGCCGGGGAGGCCAAAATGAGGGATTATTCTCTTTAGTAAGACTTTTACTATTTTTGAGGATTTCTTACTTCTAGTAGGGTAGAATTTTACCCATTCTGAAAAGGTGTCAACGACTAGCAAATATTGCCACCCTTGGGCCTTTGGCATTTGGGTAAAGTCTATTTGCCAGTCCTCAACTGGGCTCTGTCCTTGGTATTGTTTCTCTTCATTCCTTTGATGGGGACTTGTTTTGGGGGTGTTCCTCTGGCACACAACACATTTGGCAATTACTTTTCATATGGCTTTAGAAATCCAGGACCTGTGTGTTGGGACCACTTTGTGTGGTATTGGCAACTGTAGCCCCTCCAAAGCTAAGCCCCCTGCCTGTAGGCCTCAACTGGAATGCCGGGAATGCTGGGAGGCGCATGGACCCATACTAACACCAAGGGTCCCCTGGGAAATCTGGCCTAAAAAATATAACATAGTTACTGAAGATTGCTCTGTTTCCCACTGCCCTGATAAGGAAAAAACCAGGGATTTTACTTCACCACAATATAATTTCTGAGCCCCGAGAACTGTGCCTTAATGAGTATCTGGCAACAACTTGTCCAACAAGCCTTGATTTAAGACAAACCTCTGTATTTCTTCAA